CCAGAACTTCTTTGAAGATCTGGTTTGTGGGAGTAACCTCCAGAACATCCAGCATTGGAAACAATCTTTGGACTAGAGTTTTAGGCAAAAAAGTAGAAGTGTATTCAGATTGTATTTATAGCCAAAATGTATTATAAATTCATAAAGTAAACATGGCTCAAAGTCATAGTAAAGAAAAAACTTTCATTTTCAACAATAAGAAGAATGGCTAAATGCATCCATGCTCTTAATCTATTAAGAAGAACTAGGTGCACATTTTCCATGGTAAGTTAAATGAAAAAAATGCAAGCTTCAGTCCTGTGAGTAGAAATGACAACGATTTCATTAAAATACATATGTGTGTGTGCATCTGAAAGTGTGTCCACACACACATATGCATGTGTTTTAATGGATATTATATTTTATATAACATCATTTTTATATGTTATATAATTTAATTTTTTAAAAAAGAGGAAAGATGTATATCAATTTTTCAACAAGGATTTATCTATGTGGATGGGATAAAAAGAGTTTTTGGAAAACATTAGTTTCTATCATGAATGTGAATATTATATTTCTGACCTCAGTGAGATTATGAATTTTTAGTAGTTTTAAAGTTTTTTTCACCAATATGTATATAACTCATAAATATTTTGAGTTAAGTTGATAACTTTGTACATAAATGTATTCCTGTAATGGCAAGTATAGAAATGGAGAATTACAAAGAAGTGGCTTTTTTATTAAGACTCTGCGTCTCTGTGTGTGTGATGTACATATTTGTGTATTTATCTGGAAGGTATATTAAACTGACTATTTGTGGAGTGGATTTATGTACGGCTTTTATTTTCTGATTTGGTTATTTTGTATTTGTTTACAATTAACTGGGTTATTTTATAAAATAAAGAAAAACAAACAAGCCAAAAGGACAGTGTCAGGGCTAACACAACAGAGCCCAAAATAAGTCAGCTGTGCTGACTGCTGGGAAGAAAATACTGTCTTTTATTTATGGAAGCAAAGGTCTTCTCTAGGTCTTAAAGGATGAAGTAAAATTCAAACTTCTAAGCCTGGCATTCAAAC